AAGGCTTGGTTGGCCCGGGCGACTCACGACCCAGGATTTGATCCCCGGACCGCTCGCGTGGTAAGCGCGCCACTTGTCACTACACCACTTCCGCCCCAAACTCGACATGATTGCTATAAATGGTCCATAAATGGCAATCATACAAAAAAGTCACTAAAATGCGATTTCAACAAAACTGGTCGTAGAGATGCCACACCCACGGTTTACTTCTGGTTTTCAACAACAATGGATTCAAACATAACAACTAACAATACAGGGCAACAACAAAACAAGGGCTCTATTTGGTTAGTGTGTTTCGACGAGTTTGACGCGAAACACTGCTTTCAGTTACTATCGCTCCAATTTCCGAGATCTTCCAGCAGCTGGTCCGGAATCGTCTCATCAGCTCGCTCGGCAGCCGCAGTTGACTTCCGCTTCTTCTTACTCGGTTTCGCTTCTGTCTTCGCCTCCTGAATAAATCGAAACCTTCATTCAAGCTAACTTTTTAAGCAAGCCTAAGTAAGTACCTTTATGACTTTCTTTCCTTTTTCCCGTGGTTTCTTTTCACTTCCGCTTTCCTTGGTCTTCTCTTTCTCTTTGTTGTGTGACTAAATAAAGACAATTCTTCTGAAGTGAATGACGAAAAGTGCGTAAGAGAGTTAAGTATTCACCGCTGTTAGCATTTGCTGCTTCAAGCGCCATGCCTTTTCCCATTGCCGATAGAAAACACGTAGGGGTGAGACGGGATCGTTGAGCGCCAGTTTCAGTGACATCTATGAAAAGATCGTTGTATTATGGAGCGGTCACTAAAACGACACGCACAGTATAACTCACAACTTGGATATCATCTCTGATGCTGAACTCCTTCGTGAGAAGAACGTCAGCAACGAACTTCGCGTGCTCTTCAAGCTTCTCAGATAAAGACCGAAAGCACCTCGCAAACTCCACCGAACGGATCTTCCGCAAGAAATCACGGATCTGCAGCAGTCATATATAGGGAGCAGGATAAATACCTTCAGAAGGAGTAATTACTTAGCCTGATTTAACTCATATTCATTCAAAGCGGATTCCTCGATAAGGACGCTGTCGAAAAAGGAGAACCCACCAAGTGCAGAGATAGGCGGACCTCCGAAAAGTCCGGATCGATACGCGATTCGCATCGGAGGATATGCCCCGGGCGTTCTAGCATGGTCCTTCCCCGCGGCGCTACTAGCGCACTAATGGCGCGGTACGCCCCGCTGTCCTGAGTCTCTAGCCGTTTGCAGAGAGAGCGTTAGCGTTGAAGAGGGCACCACCGATGAGGTCGCATCAATGCGGAAATCAACGGGCAAGGAAGTGTCCCATTTCTCGGGTTCCAGGCCGTTTTCTTGTTTTTCTTCTTTCCTGCATCACTGACCATATCAAACTTAAAGGCAAGAATCAGGATTAAATTGATGGGTTGATTCCACTCAAATGTGAAAGTAGGGATGGGAGGTGGACCGCCAGTGGAGAAAAAAGGAAAGAAAATCCTGAAATACACAGGAAATACGAGCATTTTGCTCTATGCTGTGGAGAAGTTCAAAAGACAGGCAGGGAGATGAGAGATAATGTGAGCGCGGAGAGCGGTAGAGAAGTCCGAGAAGAGAGAGCATAGCAGATCAACGCAGCGACGCAGACAAGATATCGAACGGTGGGCGGACCATGTTAAGTTTGGTGGAGTCTGTTAGAAGTCCATGGCGCCTAGGGTCCTAGTGACGCGTTTCGATGTAGAAAGGGGCGCTACCTTTGCACTTGCGTACCCAGCACTTCTAGCCATGGTAAGGGCTTCTTAGGTGGGTCTGAGCCCGAACTTTGCCTTTTAATGTCAGCGGGTTGCGCGTTTTCTATCAACGAATACCACCTTCAAAAGCCTGATGACTGCCGCACAAGGCGCAGTACCCCAATGGAGCGGGCTACTGAAAAAAAAGCTATGACGTCATCTTTCCCTTGAATTTGACCCATTAACATTCCAGCATCTGGTAACTTCAATAATTGTCCCTTAAATGAAGACCGCACCGTAAAACTGAGAGCCACGCGATTATTACTACTTATTACGTTTCCCTGATCTCTAATTCAAAATCACACCAATTGCGAATTTTCGCATAGAACTTGCCCAGTGACCACTTTCTCTGCCATAGTGTGTCCCAAAAGTCCTCTAAGTACAGCGTCAGCCATTGGAAGCTTATCTTACCACGGCTTTGAAATCCCTTCGAAATCCTATTGTGCCCATGATTTGAAAATATTTAGAATTCTTGGAAGCTGTGCATACTTATCAAAGATTACCCTGTGAGTTATGGGAACTATAACGTCAGGAAAGCTCGGTTGAGAACAAATCAGATGTGCGGCCTGAAAAAATAAAATTAAGAACTCAATAAGCCCTAACTCAGAGTTTTCGACATTCAATAAAAGTTCCTCACCTGTAAAGTTACTCGAAATAAGTGGTCGCACAGTGTACTGCGCCAGACATTTTCCTCCAGCACTGGAGCACCTACCTGTAAACAACTGGTTCATAGTTACAACATAATCCACTAATATTGAATCTGGTAGTCCAAAAAAAAGGTGTGCACAGCAAAATTCAATTCATTTCAGCGGCGCCATGTATACTACACCTCTATTTGGGAAAAGATATTCTCCCTGTAAAAATGCAAAACGAACCCCCTTCGTGAATATAGATAGAAATACCGCAGCTCAAAGGCTTTTTGGTTATGTTGACTGTATTGGAGGCACATAAATGGCACACTCACTTCCTAACTGTGCAATCGACCACCTCTTTACTCTTTTTGAGGCGCTCCTGGTTGAGTTCCAAAAGATGTGTTCTCCTGCACGAGGCTATTTATGAATATGATTGAGAGCAATCCTGTGTGGAGCCCATGGTTATAGATGCTATACGATGCTACGTCAAGGATGTCATATTGGAGTTGTGGGGAAGTCGGCTCATGTGGTTACGGTGTATTGGCTTACATGTTCGAAAATCCCTCGTTTAGGTTTGGTTAGCTGCTCCTCCCCACTCCTCTGGGAAGGGAGGCCGTTTTTCAAGAAAACCTTACCACCAAAGTCATTGAGAATATCACGAAAATTGCATAAAGGGAACAGTTACGCAATCAAATATTCGGCACTTTTACCCTTTACTGCCCCATTCTTCAGGAACTGAGTCGGATTTTGATCGAAACTTGTCCAGATCTAGGGATTTGGCTGGAAAGTTTTCTCGGAGGGTTTTCAACCTGTAGAACACGAATTCCGCATCAGTTTAGCGCGAGAAAGCCTGGCGCTTGCCACAGGCACTGACGCTATAGCATCAGTTTTACATTGAGGCCCATAGCGCAGGCTACAGGCTCACTCGCAACAAACTAATGTGATCACATTTTGCGGGTATACCACCTATGACGACAAGTTCCCAGTAAATTTGGTGACCCAATGTTGGGCGCCTTGGCGCTGGCACCTGTGGTGCGGGTGCCAGACGTTCTCGTGCTAAACGAACAAGATATTCATGTTCCTCGGGTGATGCTACCCATGTTGGCAACATTGTAGTCCAATCCACCGGCATGGTCAAATCTCACTCAGTT